GCGGTGCGGGGGTGGTCAGCAGCGGAGGGGCCGGGGTGCCAATCCTGCGTTTCTCTCCAGGAGACGCAGCAGATCCCCACGGAGGAGGTGGTGCTGGAAGTGCTGCTCTCCAATGGCCAGAAGGTCAAGGTCACCATCCTTACCTCGGACCAGACAGAGGATGTCCTTGAGGTGCCAGAGCTCTTGTGCTGGGCAGGACCAGCTCCCTCTGCTGAGTTCTGTGGTTTCCCGCATGTGCAGGAGTCCCCTCAGCCCGGGAGCCCCCCGGCCCTCCCTGCCCTATCCCTGCCCCAGAGCAAGGTTGTCCTGGGGGGCTGAAGAGCAGTGGAGCTGGAAGGGGTGCGCTGGTGTGCTCATGCCCCTCTCTGGGCCCAGAATGATCACAGAATCATAGAATTGTCTAGGTTGGAAAGGACCTTTAAGATCATCAAGTCCAACCGTTAACCTAGCACTGCTATCCCACCGCTAATGTTGAGAGTCCCCCAGCTGTTCCACGGTGGCAGTGATTCCCCTGGGAACGTCCCACTTGCCCCCCCTGGCCTGGCCCCTGGAGGGGCAGAGGTGCTGCCTTCCTGCACGCACGCGGGCTGGATCCTGCCGCAGGGTAAGGACATAGAAGCGCTGCCTCTCGGTAGGAAGTGGTGACCTCCTGCTCTCGTTCCCAGGCCGTGGCCTCCAAGCTGGATCTGCCAGATGACCTGGTCGGCTACTTCAGCCTCTTCCTGGTGAGAGAGACCAAGGACGGAGCTTTTTCCTGTGAGTAGAGCACGCTGGAGCCCCGCGAGGGCTGCGGTGGGACGTCTGCCCTGCGCCCTGCCCCAGAGCAGGAGCCCTGTGCTTGCCCTGGGTGGGGGCACCCAGTGGGCTCCCCCTGGCTGCTGGGGGTCCAGTGGCCTCCCGCTGCCCCGAGCTGCTGCTGAGCTGCTGTTTGCCCGCAGTCGTGCGGAAGCTGCAGGAGTTTGAGCTGCCGTATGTGTCTGTCCCCAGCCTGCACAACCCCGAGTTCAGGATCATCCTGCGCAAGAGGTGAGCGGCAGGACCAGAGGTGCCTGAGGGGGGGAAGGGGGCACGGCACAGAGCGGGGGAGCTGGCCAGAGCGCCAGCTCCGTGCCGCGTCCCAGCGTGGGGGGTGCTTTTCTCCCCATCGCTGTTAGGAGCGGGGGAATAGGTTGACCCATGCGGTTCCCTTCTAGCTACTGGGACTCCTCCTATGACGACGACGTAATGGAGCATCGCGTGGGGCTGAACTTGCTGTACGCGCAGGTGAGGGTTGGTGCGGCCCAGCCGGGCGAGGAGGGGCACCGCGCTCCCTGGCTATGGCTGTGCGGGGTCTCGGGCGGCTCTGGGCCCAGCTGCTCACCGGCCTCTGCTTCTCGGTAGACGGTGTCAGACATCGAGCACGGGTGGATCCTTGTCAACAAGGAACAGCACCGGCAGCTGAAGTCCCTGCAGGAAAAAGTCTCCAAGAAGGAGGTAGGGGAGGGGGGGACGGCGGGGCAGGGAGAGCCC